ATTCAGTTTCTCTATATTTTGTAAATTTTCTTTGATGTTCACTTTACGGTTGCTGCTGCATCCCAAACTAATCTGAATTTGTCAGGTTTGTTAGGATTAAAGGCCGGAAATATGGGAATATACCATGTTTTTTCTTGATGCTGTAAGAGTTCTTGTTGTGACAGTTTTCTAATATATTCCTTTTCTAGAAAATCTTGAATTTGTTGATTAATTTTGATACCTAGTTCTGAGTTTTTCTTAATTTTTCTCTCTATACACTCTAGTCTTTGAATAGCCATGGGTTTACTATTAGGCAGTTTTAAGTTTTATTTCCAGAGTAATCCAATTTTATCATCAATAATCATCAATTAGCCCATATTTGTCCACTGCTGAACGTAGGCTTCCCGTAAAATTTTCCACTTATTTCTGTCTTGAGCTTCTTGCATCCAGTTTGTGGTGATGTGCTTGATATAATCCGTCCATCTAGTCGGTGGTCGTCATCTGCTTCGATATGCATCTTGTCTTGGTCGCCATTCCAGAATCTTCATTCCAATTTTATATTGGTTACTAATTTGAACTAGGGTGCTTTCTTGTATACGAATAGCCCTATCTAATTCTTTGGAAACAGACGGTTTAATATTTTGAACTCCGAGGCTTTCAACTGAAAAGAAATCTTTTTCAGTATTAAAGAGTTCTTGGTTAGTAATGCTTTCAGAACTACATTCGCAAATGTGGTAAGTGTAGTTTAATTCCACATCGTTATTTGAAAACATTGCAAAAATAGTCCAACCTAACCTGGACTTTGCAGCTATCGGTTGAAGTTGTAAACCTTCTTTCACTCGAAGTGGTAACGCCAAGTCCCAGTTATCTAAGCCTATCAAGATCTGAGGAACAGCGTTTTTATGTGATTTGAAAGGCAAGTTTTTTAGATAGGGAAAGCTTTCTTTAATTGCCTTTGCATCGAGAGTTTGTTTGAGGAAGGCCTAATTTCCTTACTGTTTTGGCTGGTCGGTGGTCAAATTCTTTGGCCCCATTATAATCACCAGAAATAAAAAAGAATACTTTTTCTGACGCATCTTCTAAGCGTTGTTGGTTTCCAGTCCATTTTAAGCAAAGTTGTTCTGGCTTTCCCATTATATTTAGCTTTTTAGCAATACTTTCTTCTAACAAAGTAACGGAAGACCCTTCATCTAGAAAGGCAAATGTGCAGACCTCCTTACTTCCATTTCTTAAAACAACGGGAAGTATTCAAAAGCGTGTTCCTTGATGTGCATTACTTTCTTCATCTGCAGATAAGAGGTGTGATTCTACTGTTTGCATACCGCTTCCCTTTTTGATAAGCTTTGTACTTTTATGATACTTGTTCTGAAAATTCATGAAGAAAAGGATGATGCTTCCTTTGGCATTCTTCTTTGTTGCATTTTACAGGATACTTACAGGGAAATCTATGTTTCTTTAAGCAAAGCCTACATAAATTTAAGGCTTTAACAGCCTCCCATCTTTGAGATAATGAATATCTCTGAAATTCTGAACAACCTGCAATCTTTTTGGCATTTGGTTCATCTACATTAACATGCGTATTATTAATAAATTGCCTTTTTTTATTACTTTGGTCATTAAGTGCTAGTGTAGGAAGAGCAGAACAAACATTTGTTGCTAGGTTATACAACCAATCAGCAAGTTCACTTAATCCCTGAAATTTTTGAAGAGCAGTGCGATATATCGCCCAATTAACTTTAATTTGTGAAGGTAGTTTCTCTAATAATTCATGCATAAGGACAGGGTTATTAAGGTAGTCTTTTAAATTAGATGCTTCCAATAAAACACATACATTTTTAACTGCTAAAGCAAATTCTACCAGAGTTTCAAGTTTTTCCGGTTTAGGAGATGGTAATCTACGAATAGAATTTATATGAGCTTCAATAATTTGCTCGGGTCTTCCAAAAATGATTTTTAATGTAATTTATTAGTAGTTTAAAACTACTAATAAAAACAGGAAAATCATGTGGATTACCATTAAAAATAGGGAGATCTCCAGGATCTCTTCTTTTATATAATATACCTGAACTTCTATCGTTATAAGTTGGCAGAGGCTTACCAAGTGTTGGAGTTAAAGGGGCAACATTATCGATAAAGGGCTTATCCATGGACGTATAAACATAGATGGACACGGCAATAAGATACCTTTAACACCCAATGTTTTGAAGCTTCGATAGAATGTGATGGTTCCGCAATGAGCGTAAGCGTGCTTGAATTTTTACTCGCGGGTAATTATTCAAATTTTAAAAATTGGAAGTAGTAATAATGTATAAAAACACGTTCAAAGAATTTAAAAAAACGAGTTTAACTATTAACAAATCACGTCTTTATAGAAAAATTAAAATACAATTTTATTTGCTTTAAAATTAATACAATAAAATATAGTTGAATTCAAGTTAATTTTTAATAGGTATCAAAATAATGCTACAATAAAAAATCTTTATGTTTTCTCCTAAATTTGCTACCAAAATAGTTCGATCGTCAATATTATTTGGAAACCTACATAGAAAAATAAATGAGTTTTATTCATTTCACTAATTTATTTGCATCCATGAGAAATATTAAAGTAAAAAGGTACTAAACAGATCTTTTTTAATCAGATGATGTCTACTTACAATTTAAAAATGTCTACTAATTTCATGAACTTATATTTTATTCAATACATTAATGAACATGAATAAACCCAACGGTACGTCTATTAAAATGTAAACAAACACGCTTCCTCATGTAATGTAAATTGTATGTACTATGTACTTACAAATGAAATGAGAGATCAGGATGTAAATATTTCGTTTATTTTATTTCACTTTTCACAAATATCACTCAAAATACAGCCAAAATATCGAAAAGACCTTTTCCTCATCTACTGTAAAAAGTAAACAAACATGGAACATCATTTAAAGTTTGACGTAGATCGATAAGACAGAAATGTAAACAACCGTTGCCATTTATAAATAGTTTTCAGTGCTTCTACATATAAAATAATTGATTGATATCTATTATACGCTATTATTAAATGATAATGCACACTTTATATTTTGATTACAATTAAATATATTAATCTAACCAATAAATTATTATTTTGGTTTGATAGCACCTGTAGAATATAAAATACGGAGTAATATTTTCATCGACTCGCGAATAAGAAATTTTAAAACAAAACGTGACAACAGTTGAAGGTGCTGGGAATGTGACCTATTCAAATAATTTTGACTACACAATTTTATGTAAATAACTGAGTCCATCTGTGTTTATACGTCCATGGGGTTATCTATATTTAAAGAAAGGAATTTATTGACCAAAGGGTTAGTTTCAATTATTTCTTCTTTATCGATGTCCTGACTATCATTCGAGCACTTATCTTCTTCTATGATTCTCCTAGACTCCTTGGTTAATTCTCTTTCTTGACGTAATAGATCTCGTTCTTCCTGCAGAAGTTGAAGCTTCATTTTTGTTTTGCTGCTTTTTGATGACGAACTTTTTAAGGAGGTTGCAGAACAAGATTTCTTTATTTTGGAACTTTGTGGGTGAGACTTGTGGCTGCGTCTACACAAAGAGGGCATTTCCAGCTGTCATCACTAATGGCTTCGGAATCATCCTGTACATTTACGCATTTAAAACAGCACCATTTTTTACATTCTGTACATTCTACCATCCGTTCTTCACGATATGATTTGCCGCACACAGGACATAGATCAATTTTGGTTTCTCCAGCAAATGATGGACCCATATTCGTAGACCTTATAAGATTGTGTGATTCAGCAATCGCGTGTGAAAACAGAATTTGAGCTTGTTGGGAATTTATCTTTATTGAACAACCAGCAATTGACGGATCTGTAGTTTACTGTTTTTATTTGCGTAAAAACAACTCAAATTCCTACAATATATAAAATTAACAGTAAAAAAGAGTTGTTTTTACGCAAATAAAAACAGTAAACTACAAATCCGTCAATTTCTGGCTGTTCAATAAAGATAAATTCCCAACAAGCACGAATTCTGTTCTCTTGCTGGACCTTGTAAACATTTTTGTAATCTTAATAAATTCTCATGATTATCTACTTTAAAATTAAACTTACATACTTAAAATCTACTTAAAATTAACTAAATACATTGTATACAAATAATAAATATTCGTAACAATAAGCCTTTGGTCTTTAGAAATATCGAACATAAAGCTTTTGTCGAATCATCTGTCCAATTTTCAAGGAATTATCTGTCTCAAATATTTTACTCTTAAAGTTCTTATTTCCATTTTTTTTTTCTCAGTGAAATAAAATAATTTTAGGTATTATCTGCTCGCGTCTTTCCACCATAAATTCTCATTATTATTAATGTGTGCACTTTCTTTACCCCCATCTTCAATTTCTTCTATATATTTTTTTGAAATTGAATCTGAAATCTTGAAATTTCTTTCAATACCATCATTGTTGTTTCGTTTTCATTCCATTATCAGATATAATTCATGATTGGCCGGAAGTAGTCGGTTGATTTATTAATTTTCCTTTATTTAATTGAAATCCACAGGTTAATCTTCGTAAATGGGTATATTTAAAAACCCCTTAAAAGGGCTACATCAAAACTCAAACGTTTTCGGAATAAAACATTCCATCATCAGGTTTAAAACTGCAAGGTTAACATGCCTGAGCCACCAAAATATTAGGGTAAAAAAAGAAATTTTTTTTTTAATTGGTTCGTTGTCTAAAAAACTATTACAACTCCTCGAAAGAAACTCATCACCTTCATTCATTATCTTCATTTAAAAGATATCCCTACCAAATTCGTTTTAATTTTTCTTATTCTTTTTCATAACTCATTTTTTAAAATAATAGAGATTTACACAAAATACACAAATCGCAAGTAAAATCGACTAACACTTACGGCTTAACGTTAATGAATATGCTTTTAAATAGACGTTGTGTTTCTGCAGGAGATGATTTGTTTTTGTGTGAATATAATATAATCGGAATTATTATTATTTAAAGGTCATGTACCAGTCGAGATATTCAACTCCAATGTCTGGACGCACGTGCTTTATTACAACGAACTGCAACTTCCACTCCAGCCAGCAGTCTAGATTTGGAATGGGAGCATGAAACTTTACCTGCATCTATGATTCACGATCCATCTGGTAGCTCATGGTAAGTAGTCCTCCATTACTTTCTAATATACTTACCAAATTCAGTATATTTTATAAACTTGAACCTTTCTGTCTTTTATTGTGAGGCCGACAAAGATTATTTTCGTTTTTAATGATCTATCTTGCTCTAGGTTTTCTTTAATTATTTTCCTTATTAAATGATTGAAACATTATTAAACGATCATTTTTGATCTATTACTAATATTAAAGTCCTAAAAGATCTAAATTGTCCTTTTATAAATGTTTTATGTTAATTAGGCACCAGCCAAGTTGATGAATATGATTGAATGAATTGAAATGAATGACAGCTTCTAGTCAGGCAATCCCACGTCACCTTATGGCTGGCAGTTCTGCCAAATATTAATTTTGTTAAGTGGTTTAATTTTCATACTATTGATTTATAATTTTTATCTTTTTCGTAGTGTTTAGGTTTTACTTCGATAAAGTTAACCTAACCACCATTTGTTTCCATTTTTATGTGCGTTTCTTTTCATATTTAGCCTACTTAGAGATTGGTTGTAGGTAATTTACTAAGCGTGATATGCTTAACATCCAATTTTATTACTCCTTTATATCATTGTTCTTAATATTTCTCATTGAATTTTTTTATTTTTCATATTTCGAAATAATTCGAAAATGATAAGATACAGAAAATTTATCTGAAGCTTCAAACTATTAAACTAACTTCAAACGTTATCTAAGAGAGGCTTATACATGTCTTTGACATTTAAAAGGTAAAAGCTCCGAACAAGTTTGTGTAGAAACCAAGAAGTATAGTTAACTAACGAACCAACCAACCAACAAAAGTAAAATAAGTTTTGAAAACCGAATTCCAAGATCTGCTGGAATTACGACATATGGAGGAAGGGGATGACGAGATAGGATTCTTGACTCGTGAATATGCCAAATAAGCAATATGGACGCTAGGATACGATAAGTTGCCAGGTTTCGAAAATCTTACCTCGCAAATGTGTCGCAGAGCGGAGGATGTGACGAAAATATATTCACGACAATTCACAAGGAGATTAGTGTTAAGGCTGTTTTATCCATGCACCAAAACCTAGGAACTGTTATTTACCGACAAAATGTCTCGAAATTTGGACACGATATTCGAAACTATGTTGCTTTTAAAATGATGGTTTTACTTTTTTTATTTTTTTGTTACTTCTGTTGAAAAATTGGATTATACTGTTTAACGTTCTATTATAACCAAACTTTTTACGCCCATCGCTTGAAAGAGTTTTTTTCTGTAATCGTTGATTTTTTTTTTCAGCTTTCTGTGTCCAGTAATAATCGAGAAAAGCGTGTTCAAACTTTGAAGAAAATTGCTAAAAAATATTAAAATCTAATAGTGAAACGTGTTATTCATCATTGTCGCTTAGGTTGATCGTTATCGCCTTCGTGACTTCAAATCTCATGAGCGTACGGTCAGTTAGTTCGTGTTACAACTAATTGGAATGGAGAGTAATGCATTTGTTGCCCGTTGGCCGACGCCACTGAGTAAAGATAGTCTCGCGTAATCAGTGTAGAAATGTAAGTGATACGCCCATTTTAAATCGCAGTGTGCTTGAACTGCTAAAACAGCCTTAAGATACATAATATGTAACAGAGGACCTAAAATAGTCAACCATCTCTTGCATGACTGCGAGTCATTACATCGGAGACGACAAACACTTTTCGGAGACTATCGAGTGACTCCAAAAACATATGGTACCCATGCTCTAGACCTGTACTAGCTGGGGTTCCCAGAATCCTGGTATGGGTATCATGAGTAAATGGAAGATGTACAACAAGCCAACTTGTAACCATTAAACGACCCATCAGAAACAGTGGGGAAAATAAAGAACATATTACCTAATATGAGGTATTTTAGTATTCATCAAACTGAAATTATGAATGTATGATTAATAAATTATAAGGATATAAATTACTTCACAGAACATCTCTGGAAAAAAAATTAAAAATTATTCAATGAATTTCATTATTTATTAAACTAAAGATTAAATAAGGTACTGTTATAAGGTAACCAATAAAATGGTATTTCATAATGTTTTTAGAGGTAAACGCTCTGGGGAATCACAGATTACTCAACGGATTCTAGTACCCGTCAGACTGAAATATGGAGAGAATTAAAAACTAAATTAGACGGGTATTTTCAGACTTTGGTGCTGCACATGGATCCTATAAAAGGATCGATTGAAGCCATGTTGAAATGCACCCAGTAGCCCATAGTAGGGAGTTTAACAGACAGTTAAACCACGACAGTTCTCCACGGAGACGACAGTCCTATGTACCATGGAGCCCTCGACGCCATCTCCTCCTCCTCAGTCCTAATCCCTTTTGGGATGTGGTGACATTATCAGGCTTTCACAGTTTTTTCAAGATTTCCCTCCATCCTTCTCTGTCCTGGGCTAGTTGTTCGGCTTTATGTAACCCTTTGTTAATCAATTTTTGTTTGATCTACCCAACGGCTTGGAGATTTTCCCCTAGGTCTCTTTCCTTCAACTCTACCCTCGACTATCAGTTTTTCCATCGTGCCTGTTCTTCTAGCAATGTGTCCAAAATACTGCAAATATCTCTGTTGTATTTGTTTAAGCAATCTATCCTTCATCATAGCTGTTCTAGCAATAGTCAACCTTCTACGTATTTCTCTGTCACACCCTCCGTCATTTGTTATTAGGGACCCCAGGTATATGAAAGTATTTACTACTTCAAAGCCCCCAATTTCTTTAATGTGTTGAAAATTATTCCGAGCTCTGTCTACTATCATCATCTTTGTCTTACTCCTATTTAGCTTTAGTCCATATGTTTTGCTGTTTTCCTCCAAACATCTCATTATGTCTTCCATTTCTTCCTGATTTGCCGCGATTATTAAAGTGTCATCAGCATATCTCAAGTTGTTGATTTTTTGACCTCCTACTGATATTCCGCCCTTCCATCCGTCTAATACCTTTCGCATAATGTGTTCGCTGTAGATATTAAACAGAGTTGGCGAGATTATGCATCCCTGCCTGACACCTGCCTCTGTTCTAAAATGATCGGAATGGGTGTTGTTTATTTTTACTATGCACTTATTATTTTCATATAGACTTCTAATTAATTGAATTAAGTGGTGGGGTGTTCCCATTTCCGCTAGTATGGACCATAGCTGCTGCCATTTGACTTTATCGAAGGCCTTTGTGTAATCCACAAAGCACATGAGTATTGAATTCACGAGTTTTTTCGATTAGCTGTCTGACATTAAGGATGTGTTCTCTTGTGCCTTTTCCTGGGACAAATCCCGCTTGTTCTTCTGATATCTGAGGCAATAGAAAAGCTTTTAATCTTTCATGTATTACATGAAGTAGAACCTTGCTTGCATGGGATATTAGGGTTACCGTTCTGTAGTTGCTGCAATCTAGCGGAGTTCCTTTTTTGAATATAGGGATGAAAGTGGATGTTGTCCAGTCGTTGGGCCACTCTCCGGTTTCCCAAATCTTTTTGCAGATCATATGCATAACATTCGTCGGGTTAGTGCTTATTTGTTCCATACCACATTTTCTACTTTTTCGGGTTAGAAGTTGTAATGAAACATTGGCAACATAATAATTTATATAATTTGGCCCTGATAACTCTAACAGCCAAGACTTTCCTGTAATACCTTTGTAACTTTGTGCCATATGATTATTTTATGGGTTACTTCAGTGCTTAAGTGTTCCATATGCAAAGGCCAATAGGAAGCCAGTATTTCACACGCGCATTCGGTGCTTCGGTGCTTGTTTGTGCCATGCCAGTGTTATGCAGTGAGTTGAGGTTAACGTGTCTTACTTCTTGTATGGTGGCGACTTGGATGTGATAAATAAAAGTATAAAACGGGTAAGTAAATGCATATATTATTTATTTACATGTGTAAAAATGTATACATATTATCTATTTAATGATGTGTTCTTCACTATATTACCAAATTTAATAATATCAATGTCTCAGAATAAGAATTTGGCATGTGGAACAAAGAAGCACTAATTTGACAATATTTCTGCCAGGAGAGCGTAAAAACTCATGTAATTTTTTGTTACAGAGTGGATATGGATCGTAAACAAATTACCGCTATAAAAAGAAATCTATTTAAGACGATTCCCGATGTTTCTAAGTCCCGATGTTTTGATGATTTGACAATATTGCAATGTCTGAATGTTCGTCCCCTGCGCCGTCATTACCTACTGATGTCGAAAATAAGTTTGATAGTGACGATTAAGTCTGGGATCCTGATTATAGTGCAGAACCACTCAGTAAAATTTTTGACTATAACAGTGATTCAAGTTCAACTTCTTCTAATGGAAACAGACAAAATACAGAGAGTTCTACAAAAATAACATGGAAAATTAAGATGTCTCAGCAAGCAGCAAGAAGACTTCTAAAAAAACAAGAATGCGATTGAGAAATCCTTCGAACTGGACTAGAAATGTGAAAAAAGTTCAGCGAGAACAGTAGCTTCAATATAAGAACGAAAAAGGAGTTGTCCATGCTCCAAGGCAAGGTCAATACAAGTGTGTGAAATCTTGTACCTATCAATGTATTAAAAAAATTAATACGCACGAAAGGGAAGTTATATTTAAAAACTTTTGGCTTCTAAGTGTAGCAAAAAAGGCGCATTTTATTCAAAATTTGTAAAAAAAGTTCACCAAAACGAAGGTATGTGAAAACAAAAATATTTCGGACTACCAGAAACAAAATTCATTTTAATATAACCTTGAGGTTTTAAATAAGCAAATCAGAGTATGTAGGGAATTTTTTTTAACTACTCTAAACATTAGTAAACAGAGAATTTATTATTTCTTTAAAAAACGCTATAAGGATTACTCAGGGATTGCTTAGACCCCTTTGAAAGGAAAATACGTAAAGAAAGTCTTACCATTAGAAGCTTTAGATGGGGTATGGAAACATATTGAGTCGTTCCCCCTTATAGAGTCCGATTACTGTCGATCAGATCGTGTTATTCGTAGATTGTATTTAGATCTGTGTCTCTCTATTGAAAAAACGTATCGACTATACCTAGAAAGTGACGTTAGTAAAATGTACAGAACAATATTTTCTTCACCAAATAAATAATTTTATTTCTTCTAACTGCAAGTATTTGTTTCAATTACATTATGAGTAGGAAGAATAGTAGTTCTAGTTTTTCTACTGCGAAGAATATTTAACATTTATTTACTGTTTGTTTCACATACACATATTTTGATTATTAATAAATTTTAAAAGAAAAAAGGAGTTTCCTTTTTGATGTACCCTTGTATTTTTTCAAAGGTTCAGTAATATAAGATTAGAAATATTGTAATAAACTGTGATCTAACTGTAGAATGATACATAAGATATATAGAAACGCAAACTAAACTATTTTACTTAAAATAATTCAGTTTTGTACTTCATTGCATATGGAACAAATGTGCAAATTCCTGTACTAGTTTTACTTTTTGTTCCATAAGCAAAGGTTTTTATTTTTTTTCTCAAATTTAAGAAGAGTCAGTAAAAATTTGAAGTCATAATCCAGCACACCATTTTAAATATTTTTTTTAGAATTAACATAATTTTCCTGAGTTTTAAAATAATCGAGTAAATACTACCAAAATATTTAAATGTAAATATCTCAAAATGAGAATTTGGCATATGGAACAAATAAGTACTAGCCCGACGCATTTACTCCAACATCTACAGTCTCTTTTAAAATTTCTGCGGTGATCTCGTCTTATTTCAACTTATTGATTGCTTTTTCTACCTCTGACTTTAGAATGTTTGGTTCTCTCTCTGCAGTGAACTCATCGTGATTTGCATTCTGGGGATCATCTGCATATAGACTTTGACAATATTTTCTCCATACCTCCGTAATCCCTTTCTCGTCATTTATAATATGTTGGTTTTGATCCATTATTGTTTGTGTGATTGGTTTAAATTCCCTGTATAGATATCGGACTTTGTTATACCGGTTTACATGTCTCTCTAGTTCTTCGCATTCTTTATTTATATGTTTATTTTTATCATCCCTACATGCTCTTTTAATTTCTCTATTTAACCTTGCTTATTCGTATTTGTTGCTGTCGTTTTGATATATAAGAGATTTGATTTTCCTTCACTCTTCGAGAAGTTGCAGCTTTCTATCTGTCATCCAGTGTTTCTTTTGATGATCTTTTTTTCGGTTCTGGTTCTTTCTACAGAGGTTTCTATGGCATTTCTAAAACCTTTTCACATTTCTTCTGGGTTGTCTTGTGTGTTCAACATACTAGTTTCCTTTATTGCATCTCTAAATGTTTTCGGATTTGAAATCTCCAGTCTGTTTTGATTTTGTTGCGACATTGTTCTTTTTAGCTTCATCTTGAAGCAAGCCCATAACAATTTATGATCGGATCCACATTCAGCTCTGGGTCTAGTTTTTACGTTTGTAAAACATGTCTTCCATCTGTTTCTAATCAATATGTAGTCGATTTGGTTGTTGTATTCTCCATTTGGGCTGGTCCACGTCGATAAACGATGAGCATGATGTTTGAACATTGTGTTTACAATGGTCAAACTGTTTTCGGTTGCAAAATTTATTAAACGTTCGCCTCGGCTGTTTCTAACACCTAACCCATAGTTTCCTACATTTTGGATGTTATCATTTCTTGTTTCTCCTACCTTAGCGTTAAAATCGCCCATGATTATGAGTGGTTCTTTAGATGGAATATTTCTTATTGTGTCTTCAATAACGGAGTATCCGTCTTCCACTCCATTGTCTAACGCGTCTGAGGTTGGCATGTAGACCTGAAGAATGTGCATTTTGTTTGGTGATGCTAGTAAGGTTATTTTTATAAGTCTATCATTTATCGGTTGATAATCATACACGTATTGTGAAACTTTTTTAGTCACCATAATTGCAACACCATTTCTTCCTGTGTTATTTGTTCCCGATATGTATACAACATGATCTGCCGTTCGGAAGTGTCCTTGTCCTTTCCAATGGGTCTCCGAAAGTCCGCATATTTCTATATCCGCTCTTTCGACTTCTCTTTGTAGTATATGCAGTTTGCCTGGTTGCAATAATCCTCGAACATTCCAGGTTGCTATTCCCATTGCTTTTCTTAACTGAAAATCTGATTTTCTTCCAGGCGCCAATTTCGCATGTGTTGCCTGGTTGCTCACAAACACATGCCCGGTAGCCCATTTGACACTAGTTGGCCCGGAACCAACTGAGCACCGATCGCTAATCGGATCGCTAAGCATATCTAACTTATTAGATATATTCATGATGGTGTAGTCACAGTAATTTAATCAGGTGGTTTCCCCTTGCCTGCCTGATCGCAGTATCACGACCGGTTAAATCATTATGTGATATCCGTCCATGAGTATCTCTCATTAAGCCAACAGTAGAAATCATTCCGCTAGAGCCTTAATGAAGTAATGTTATAGCTGATGCGCTATGCCATGTCCCTATGACTCATACATCTATAAATATTAAATATAACTTACCGCAGAGAAAATTTAATAATATAAAATGCATTTTCAATCGAAGCAACAGCTTAAATAAGCAAAAGACAATATAAAAAAAATATAATCTACCTCTACAGAATTGTGGCAAAGACAGAGAAGTGTTGACAACTTACAAATAACGTTTGTCGACTGAAGTGAGGCATAGAAATTTATACTTTTCATGTCTGTGACATAAAACAGGCTGGAGTCAAATACAGGAAATATAACTGAAATAAATGATCATTGAAAATGAAAAATAACGATTAAATAGGATATTTAGTTGATCAAAGAATTGAGCGCCAACTATTTTTAAAATAAAAATAGTAAAATTAAAGATAAATTAATCAATGAATAAAATCAAAAGAAATTGAAATAAAATAATTATTAAAAGAAAAATAACAAATATGTGACGTTTATAACGTTACAAACTGGGTGAGGCTCGACTAGTTTACAACAAAAGGCTTTTATGAAAAAAAAAACCAATATGCATAATACCTTATCCATTACTGACTTAAATTTAGTTATATAGGGGGCCAGATAGCTCAGGCGGTAGAGTGTCTGACTGTCACTCAGCACTGGCCCAGTTATCTTCCTTGTATACCGTATTCCCAAGAGATAGCAGACTACCCTGCTATAATCCCAAAGTCGCACTAGCGTTGTAAAGGGAGACTATTCTTATTATTATTAAATTTAGTTATATGATATAATTATTAAACTTGTTGGCTAAGTAGTATAACATTTTAGGACAGCACTACCAGAGGACATATCTTGCTGTCCAACTACATCACATACCCATAATTCCGAAATGAACGCCAACGCAAGCGACTCTGATTGGTCAAGAGTTTCTTCTGCCAACTCACTAGAATGGGACAACGTACAAAATTCGATACAAGCTGAGGGCAGTCCTCCACTTTCCGAAATCGATACTGATACACAGTTTCTATTGGGCGAAATCGAGAGGCTGACAAACAAAACTCTGGAAGAAACGGGAAAGGAGTTATTTAGCTGATTTTGAACTTAAATATGGCGTTTGTTTTAATTGAGAATATGCTGGTTAGTATAAATATAAATGTATGTAAATAATAGTAATGAAATTTTGAAACTTTGAAATGATTGAGCACAGTAAATTTTATTTTAACTTTTTTACATAAGTAGAACTGAAGAATATTAAGAAATTTGACAATGCTGGAATAACTTTGATTTTAACACTCTGGATTTTTCCCCGTACTACCAGCTTTTGGAGCGAATCGTTATCTTTTCACATAATATGGACAACGTATTTCATGAGGTTTTTGATGGTATTCTTAGCATTCGCCTCCAAGTGAACATTTCGAAAGCGTCGTCTATGATTCTGCAGCGTAAATGACAATGTGAAATATGAGTGTCCTGAAAGCATCATTTTTGTGTTTTTGGATATTTCGTGACCTTTTCATAATGTCTGGAGTTTGGCGACGTCAATTTTACTCATAGCGATTATTCTTCGTATTTCTTTCTCACAATTAGAGCAGGATATCTTTCTTTTGATCTACTAATTAATTTTACTCTTTGATGTGTTGATTTGTTAACCCGCTTTATTGCTTATTTCGCTCACCTTTGAGATTAATTCGTCAATTTCTTCTTCCGTTTTACCTAGAAGGGTGAAATACATATTCTTCCATTCCAATTCGTAGCTTTGGAGCCACGCAGCCAATGCAGCCTTGTCATACTCCTTTATTCTCTCAGGCTATCTTCTAGTCTCATTTTAACTGATTCAGATGTATACAAATTGCCAACAAGCTTGACGAGATGATGAGGTACTGCCGTCTCTGTCATTGTGTTTTCTGTGTAGTTACGGTAAATTTGAGAGGGTAGTAGAATCAAATTTGAAAGTACACATTCTCAGAAATACATGGACGTGCTATTTTAATATCAAATAATTCCGTGTTAAACTGTATAAAATGTAAAATGATCTTCATTATTGGAAATAAAATAACCAGAATGAAAAAGCTCAATAAAATGCAAGCAATGCTTAAGAAATGTGATATTAGAAGCTTTTTTCATTTTGACCACAATATATTATTTTATAACGGCGATGTTTATGCAAATTTCATATGATTAATTCAACCTTCAATAAATCTGGTCAATTTTGAAGACCACTTTTCAACTGCGCTATGTTTGGTAGTTTTTCTACCAATATGTTGTGGTAGCTGTCATTTTTTAGTGCCCATTATCGAACCTGAGAGTAGAATGTGTCTTATTTATTCAAATCAGTTTTCGAAAACATGTGTGTACACATATATTTAGGGTAATTACCGGTCTGATTGCCTTAGCACGCTGTGATTCAAATTGTAACTTGCAGATAAATCTTCAAAAAAAAACGCTGATCTTCCACTTTTAACTCTTTTGAACTATGAAAATGTATAACATTCCTTTGCCAGATTAAAAATTGGGGCGTTCGATAGTTTTGACGTACGTTGAGGATTGGTCGTCCTTTCACACAAGACGTTACTCCCGCCGTCTTTCAGTCTTCATCGAGTCAGTCAACACTAAATATAATTTTATAAAGTAAAAGGTGTAGTGTACATAAGGAGCGAAATCAAATTATTGAGTTGTAGTTACTCTATCGTCGAAAAAAGATAAATAAGAGGGACCGAATTCATTGGATCCATCCTAATAATTTAAAAAGATACGATGTTAGGATATTTGCCATATTATTTACAGATTTAAGGAGGCATGAAGTAAAATTCTTCAATTATTTCCGTCAGTTTCATCTTTCGACGAACTATATGGTCGGCTGAAACAAGTAATGCGGCGTCAAAATACAAAAATGAGATACTGTATTCAACCAGTGAAAATGCTGGTTGTTAGTTTAAGGTAGTTTAAATGTTCTATGATAAGTTGATTGTAATTCGTTATGTTTCAATGGTTTCAATATAAAAATTAAATATTTATATCGAAAATCCAGATTATTGGATTTATAAAAGGTTCAAAGAAACTTACGATAAATGAAACAAAGAAAAGACCAATACGAAACTGCATACATAACTATAATATACAACATAACCATAAAAAATAGCTATAATATATAAATATGTGAACTACATTACAAGAAAGAGTAATTTACTTATTTATTTGGAAACATCAATACTATTCGGAGACAAAAGCATTGACATCGGTGAGTTGAATTAAAAAAACTGAATTTAATACTCTCTTTCTATTGTTTTGTCCCAAAGAACTCACTTGAACCAATGTTATTCATATTTCACTATCAATCTCAGACATCATAACCTACTTCACAAAGCACAAAATGTAAATAAAAATAATATACCAAACCACCCAGCAAAGTACCTTCTTACGACTGAATCTTCGAGTACTTATTACTACTACTAGTATCAGTTGCCACTTTGGCTACCATACCATTTAGAAAAATATAAAGTACAGGGTGACAATTGGCAATAGGACGATTTTGAAATAAATGGTACACAAGAAATTTGCAATAAAATACTACTTTATTAACATCAAAATGAAGCTTATATTATGTCATTTACAATCTAATTAAGTATGGAAAATAACGTCATCAAGATGGTGACCATCACGTTGGATACAGTTTTCGATTCATTTTATGAAATCTTCCATAACACGCTCTAATATCGCTCAATCAATAGTCAGGATTTTCTGGCGCATTGCATTCTTCAACTCGATCAAATTACGAGGCTTGCTAGCATATACACAACTCTTTAAATAGCCCCATAGAAAAAATCACAAAAGAAATTGCACAAGACAAGGAGGATATGGAATATATGATAAGGAAATTAAAGGAAGAATATGAACTTTGGGGACTCAAGATAAATATGTGCACGACCGAATACTTATGTTTTGGACCCGAGGCTGCAGATTTGAACTTAAGTTTAGAAGAAGAGACTATTAAGAGTTGTAAGACTTTTAAGTATTTAGAGTCAATGATTAGCCGAGATGGTACTTGTATGAAAGATATAGAAATGAAAATAGCACGGGGAAAATAAGCCACAAGAGCACTTCATGGAGTGATATGGAACAACACTCTAACCAAAGAAAACAAAAAGAGGATTTTTCAAAGCATAGTAATGAATATTACCCTATATGGAGCGGAAGTATGGCCAATGACAACAACAATACGAAATAAAATAAGAACAGTTGAACTGGACTTTATGAGAAGATGTCTACAAATCACAAAAGCGGATATAATAAGAACGGAGGAAATATGGAACAGAATGGAAGTAGAATGCTCAATTACAAAAAAGTTGGAAAACAGAGCCCTGCAGTGGTACGGGCATGTACCAAGAATGCCAGAGCATAGGTGGCCGAAAAGAATATTAAACTGGGACCCGCCGGGAAGAAGACGGAGAGAAAGACCTGCTACAAATGGAAAACATACATCGGAAATGCTATGATAGATAGAGACCTCAGAGAAGGAGACTGGGAGGATAGAGTGCCCGTGGAGGACGAAAACGGCGAACTCATAATGGTAAAAGCCGAAGAAGAAGAAAAAATGACAAATTGACAGGTTTGGAGACCTTGGAGGCAAATCTTCGAAACGTGAAATGAGTTGTCCTGGGAATAGGTTGCGGAGAATATTCATTGAAGCATGGACAGTATATGTGCCGTGGCACCATCGTGATGAAACCACACGTTATGCCATTCGGACCAATGGCACACCACACTGTGACTTTTTGAGAATGTAAAGGAAGCTCATGGAGATTTCGTGGTTTTTCTGGAGCCTAGTACCTGTAATTCTGTTTATTAACGGTTCCGTCCAAACGGAAATGAGTTTCGTCGCTCATTAGAAGATGCTGACCTAAGTTATCCTCCAACAGAACTTGCATTCTCGTAGCGAAATTCTCACGTTGTTAAACATCTCTTTTCATTAATTTCTGAACAATCTGCAATTTGTAGGGGTGAAATCTTAGGTCCTTATACAACATTTTTCTAAAAATGATTCCCGATTAATGTTTAGTTCAATTGCATGTTTTCGGACTAACCGTGTAGAGCTTCTGACGACAGCATCTTTTACTCGCTGTATATTTACAGGAGTTCTTACTGTTCTATTCGGACTGTGTTGCTTTTTTTTTCATGGCACTGCTTGTTGTTCTAAAATTCTTTATCCATCTTAAGATTGTGTTGCGAGATGGAAACGCTCCACGGCTACCAATATTAAAGTGAGTGCGAAAAAGCCGCTGCATAATGATCACTGATTCTTGATTTCGGATAAACGTATCGTATCACTGCTCCATGTTTACTGAAATATAACACGACTACAGAGGTAGTAACGCCGCGCTTGTCCCACACTCATCCCCTCAAGCTTCGTACTATGCAATCTAAAAACATCCGGCTCCCGATTGTCACCCAGAACACTCATCAGAAAAACAAATATTAAATAAAAAGTTTAGACTATTATTTATTTTCTCCCAAAATCATCAATCAGTCATAATCTCACAAAACGTGTCGCCTGTCGGGATCATCTTCTTATTTCCTGTACCAAGTGTATTTTGTAGGGATGAAATTTGTAATGTTTCAGTACACTGCGTACAGTAGTTCAGTAATGACCTAAAATTTCTACTTCTGCCGCTTCAGTCCTAACACGTTTTCCACATTCCCTCTTGATCACGAAACCCGTTTCATGAGAATTTTTAACTAATTTTAATACGCGATCAAGTTGGTCAAGGCTGATCAAGTTGATTAAATAATTTCGCTGTTCTTGCACACTTTCCATGTTTAAACTTATGGAAATAATTCCAACGTGTTCTGCGATAGAATACACCAAATTAACACAATTATAGTTTAAAATACGCGTACAATCACATTAACTATTCGATGAAATATGAATATTGTTACAGCAAATACCAATTATGATAATGTTTTGACGAGCAGATATTTTGAACGATATTGGTTAAGGAAAGCGTGGCAATGAAACAGTGACGGGTGTAACTCTGAATAGTAGAAAACACTAAGAGATAAGTCACTCGAAGCGAAATTGAGTTATTTCGCGCACAT